AATTTGCAAAAATTCAAATTGGAATGTTTTTTTTTTTTTTTTAATAATCTTCTCAATCGAGATCTCAATCAAATTCAAGTTCTACCAAAATCAAATATGAAAGAGAAGATTTACTTTCGAAACTTTCAAGTGATATGATTTCTTTAGAAAGCTGAAGTTGAATGATCGAAATCTCCTTTAAATTTCAATCGAAGAGATCGAAGTGAAGTTATAAATCCAATCATTCGAATGGTTTCATTACCAAATGAACTGAACCTCAATACCACATTCATTAAAGAGATATGACCATGTCTATTAATTCGTTGTTATCATCTCTATTTGCAGGCATTATGCTTGAAAGTATGCATATTACTACTGATGATGAAATTAATGACAATCTTGAATCTCACTGCATGCATGTTTGGTATTCTAAATTGAACGTGACGAGATAGAATATTAATTTATAAGATTTTATTATTATTATTTTATTCCTTGATATTGTCGATTCATGACCTAATCAAAATGTTGTTTAATGATTACAATAGATTCATTTACTTAGGAAACCAAGCAGAATACATTCTTTCACACATGCAAATAGTTGCATTTGACAGAAAGCTAAAGTTACATATATGCCACTAAGATATGCCTACGTACATAAATAAACTCGGGGGACTGGTCGAGTCGCTGACCGACCTGCCTGAAGTCACAACAAGCTCCTTTGCCGGAGCTAAGTTTATTGGTCTAGTTATTATAAATGTTTAAGACAATTTCTGATAGGGTTTCAGCCGTTGAACCAGTGAGCCACTTAGGTGGAGGGACATGACTTCATTGGTTGATCCCACCAATTCTCCGCCGATGAACACTGCCGGGACAGGGCCATTGCAACCCATCCTTAGTAGCGCCTTCTCAATTTCCTTTCCCTCTGGATCGTGATCGATTTCATGAACATAAGGATCTATACCAAGTTCTCGAAACAACAAGTGTACAGAATAACATAAGCAACATGTGCTTTTGCTGAAGATCATTACTCCCTTTTCTGATGCCAATTTTCTTACCCTCTCCATCTGAGATGACTCGACCCCGTTCGCTTCAAATATATCAGATCAAATATGACAAGATATTTTTTGGGATTTCGAGATCATACAATTCCAGTTGGAGGTCTCTTGCTAATCTATTTATATAAAACATCAGAGAAGTGGACTAGTTTTTCCGAACGAGAACATTCAATAGAAGGTGGGCTTTTCTAAGATGCCAAAACCCACTAAAGTTACTTTTCCAAAGATAGATACAATATCTATAAATATATTTTGTTCCGTTCACAACAAGTTGAACTCGATCAACGTTGTTGTTAATATAGTACGTATTAGACAAGAAAAAAATTCAAGTTTCGAGTACACGCTACCGAAATATTATGAAACTTTTTAGAATATCGTTTTTTTTTTTTAAACAGGTCAAGATAAATCGAGCATCCGGATAAATTTAAGTTTTTAGACGTGATACTCTCAACAAAAATTACAGATTATTCTCGCTGCTGAAATGTCTGTCAGATCAAGAATAAGTAAAAGATTATTGAGTTGGTTTTTGGAATACGTTGCATGGCTACTGACCACCCGGTGTCCATCAGATTAACAGTAAACTTGCAAAAAAAGAAGAAATCTTGGAGAATTAAGAGTGGTCAATTTATTCTACAGATTCTTAATTAGTTCCAGCATTCTTGAAATATATTCGTCTGATTAAAAGATCAAGAATAAGATGGCTTTTTTTTGGGTGGCTGTGATTCTTGGTGGGTTGTGCTTCAGCATGTCTGTGAATCCACGAAAGTTGAGAGAACAAATGGGACTAGATACCCCGACAAGCATCTTTGTTCTTGCTAACCATGAGCTGTTTCCCCCATGTGACAGGAGAGGTATTCTTGGGGTATCATACATGACTTCTAATTCAAAATAAAACAAAGTGAGAGATACTTAACAAACTTTTGGGAGAGATTTAATTGATTATATTAATCTCGGTAGCTACGCCACCCACGGCAATTTAAAGAATCTAAAGGAGTATGAACCATATTCTGTGAAATGTCGTTCTTGTTAAGGTTGTTTTTTTTGTTTTTTTTCAACCTACTCAAGTCCAATTCATTTGGATCTCTTAGATGTTCTAACCAGATAACACGGACATCCCAAAAATGCGTAGTTTCTCATTTTCTCCTCTAAAAATGACCTCTCCTATCGGATAAGACATTGATTCTTTACTTGTAGGTCCTCGAGCAAATTCTAGGCGTTTGTCTCTTACTAGAAAAGTAAATGCATGAGCTTGAGAAGCTTTTGGTCCAGTAAGTCCGTAAAACTCGTTAAGATAAGTAGTATTATTGACTGATCACAATTTCATGTATTCTATTAATTACTTGTTCGATTGTTACATAATATCCAAAATAACGAAATTTATAATTTTTCAAAACGACAAACTTGAGTAGGAAAACATGATCTTAAGACATCTCATTTTTTTAGAATTAAGGATATGAAAAAAATACGAAAATCAATTTACATCGTAATTAATCATAAGTAACTATTCATGATAATCATTAGCCATACTTTTTCTTATTGATAGAAATGAAAGGACATTAAAGCGTAAAAGAAGATGAATATTTAGATGTACACGAATCTCTTGTTCCAATTTGTTGTCTAGAAAAAAAAATAATAAATAAAATAAAACATCAAGCAATTTGATGCCGGGAACTTTGCATGTTTTGTTGAACGAGGAGGAGACAATTGGGAGAGCCAATGTCCTTTCAGAGGGGAATCTCTTCTTGTGATTGTCCCTTTTTCCTTTTCATTTTATTTATTAAGAAAGAGAAAAACACGCCTTACTTTTTTTTTTTTTTAAAGAACTTCAAATACCTTTGATTCAAGTAAGTTAACATCATTTGCCAATTTTTTAAGTAATTTAACATGGTATCACAATAAACAAAATTTTCGACTTTAAGTCTCAACGCCATTTATTTATACAAAATTTTGTTCGTTTTAAATATTTGCTAAAATTTCAACTCAGTCTACGCATGAGAGAGCTTGCAGATCTCTTTAAATATTTTTTCAACTCGAGCAAAATACCTTGCTTTGGGTCTAGGCACCTTTTTTTAAAATTCTTAAATGACTGAATTTTTTTCCTTCCTTTCTTTCATTTTCCCTAGGCACGCTTTATTAATTTTTTTTATTTTTCTCTCCTTTTTAAAAAAGTCTTTTATTTGACTAGTTTAATTTAATAATTCTTTTATTTTTTAAAAACATTTTCATTTGACTTTAATTTCAAATTTTTAAATGACTTTATCTCTACCAAAGTTAAAAACGATTTTATTCGATAAAGAGTTAAATAAGATTATGTTACAGTGTTATCTACATATGTCATTACGATTTTGAAATTCGTTATTTTATTGAAAACTTCGAAAGCATGTATGAAGTTTCTAAAATTCTATTATGAATAATAGTCTAGTTTTTATATTTCGAAAACTTGAAAATTGTATAATTGACTAGTTATATGAATTATTAAGTAAATATAATATTTTATAATTTTAGATGTTTGATTTGTATAACTTTAATTATTAAATTATTTTTAAAATAATTAAAATTTTAAAATAATATTAAAAATAAGAAAACATTCTTTTTTTTTTTACGTCTAGACGTCGCTTAGGCCTGCTTAAAACTCGTAAAGCTTGAAACTTCGCTTCCACCCCTAGTCGCATTTTACACTTTTTTATATAATATATTTGTCTGATTCATAACCCTTTTTATCATATCTTAATTCGAGATTCTTCCTTTTTTTTATTTCTTATTTTATGTTGAATAAGTAGTTATATCAATCTGATTGGTTCCAAGAAATGTTCACAGATACATGTTGGTACTTGGCAGGCCCTATTACTCTCAGTTGGGTGAACTTGATAGTCTTTCAAACAAGATAGTCTTCAAAGAAATATTTTTTAGGACTTATCCACTAATACAATTCGATTTAGCTTTTTTTAAAGGCAAAGAAATTCTTCAACATGCCAGGTAAAGAATCTTACACTAATATGCACCAGTCACAAAGAAGCTATGGGACCAGAGCCAAACTTAAACTTCCGGAAGAAGAGCCAGACGATTTGGCACCATTAATCCCTGCAAGTTCAATTTCCGGACCATACAATGGCCTACAGGCTCTACACGCAAGGCTAACAACTCAGCATGTTCTGTGTCGAAATATCCATCCCAAAACATCGCTCTGGCAGCCACTTGCAATTGGTTAATTTTGATTATAATAAAGCTTGTGAGAAGTTTTCTACAATAAAGGCTTTTCTTGGCATTCGTAAGCGAATCACAAGTATGAATGTTTGTGAGATTTTGTTCTTTCCCATAAGTTTCCGCTACGTCAAACTAGATGGAGCGTCATGAAAAACACGCCACACAAATAAATCAGATAAACCTGGAACTAACAAATGAATCAGCTAGAAAAAGGAAATTTCAAGCATGTTTTACATTTGAAACTGAGAACAAAAATTTCCCCACATAGATATATTTTAGAATACAACTTCTATTATCAGCTTTCAAGATTCCATCAAATAAACAAGCAAAAATATCACTTGACAGAGGAGCACAAAGAAACTTAAGGCACTGTGAAACAAGAATTCACTCAAAATATCAGTAGAAATCTATAAAATCATTTTTATTCATGTGTACGAATGATCAAGAAACTGGGCGACGCCTTCTCTTCTGGAAAAGAAACCGATTTTCTGAATTAGCTTTATCCCGCATTTGCTTTAATCCGGAAGAGTGAATTGAGCTTGCCCAGTTTTTCCGTAAATGATTTGAATAACTTGTTGGCAGGGTGGGACTTCACGAGCTCCTGTTTCATTGAGACATGGTCTTTCTCAAGATCCGTTAGCCTCATTCTCATTCGTGCAACTTCAAGCTTCAGTTCTCGGTTTTCTCTTCTTGCTGAAGCATAATTGTCTCTTGGAGAGATGCATCCGCTTCCTGCACAGCTACCTGAGCGCTGTGGGAATTGTCCATTCAGGCCAAAGAATAATTGATTGTGCCCTCCAACCCCGTTCATAGCATTACGCATTCTGATCTGTTCAAAGTACAATACTTGGACTGCCATCTGCACCGGTAATCGTTCATTCTGAGCCGCATGGCTGCATGCTTCTTCAGACAGCTTCTGAGAGTCGACTATTTTGCATAGCCGGTAACGTTCCATGTCCTTTATGTTGGGATGAACCTGCCAGTGAGTGACAAAATGTTGATGAACACATTGGCATAGAGATGTAAAATGGTATGTAGAGGTGTAAAATGGGCCAAACCAGGCCACCAGCGCAAAAGGGTCATTTGCATTCTTTGGCTCGTTGGCCCATCTATAAAGAAACGAGGCCAAGTGCCATTCTTTTTGGGCCATGGCCAGGCTTGCCACCGGAGCCAAACAGTTTTCGTATTCTGTACTTTTGGTAATTTGTTTTTTTATAAAAATAAAATAAAATCGCTGCCACAACTTGTCCCACCTTTTGGGCTCTTGTTGGACGCCTCTGCATTTTCAGAGAGCCCAGCTCTATGAAAAATGCACATAGCCTAAGTCACAATCTTTTTATTAAGGCTTGCAAAGGCCACGGGCCATGCTACCTAGGCAATGCTGGGCCATTTACGCGCTCAGCAGCCATTGAAAATGTGTAAAAAGATGCAGTGTGCCTGTAGCTTGAACCTGCATATTGCCATTTATTGTTTGAGATTGAAAGAGTTACTCATCTCACCTTTAGAAAGATATCTACAGCTCGATATAATCCATCATAGACCATACGAGCGTGGTCTGGAAGTAATTCTGCTAGCGCTACGAACTTCGATGGAGCCAAGTTTGAATCCAATGCAACTTCCGCAAGATAATTGTCCAACAGCTTCGACACCTTAATTATCGAACTTTGCTTTGGGGATCCAGGGCTGTCAAAGTGATAAATCATCTCACTTTCATCCCTCAGGTGATTATCCTCTTCATCATCCTCATCAAGATTCAAGAAAATTGAGAAAATCCTCAAGACTGAATCTGTGTCATACAATGGGCT